AAATCAAGTCCGCGGTATCTATAGCCCAGCTCGTATCCAAACTATAGATAAATTTACCAAACAAACGAAAAATTAGTATTAAAAATAGCCCGAAACCGAGGTGATAAGATATCGCGTTGTTTGCGGTGAAGTGTTTACCGTGAAGCAAGCAGCGAAGAGCGATCATCCGGCCGGCGGGTGAAAAGGCCGGATCCGGGGTCCTTGCCGCACTCCCGCACGTCTTAGATCCACTATTTGCATACTTCGCCACCGGACACAATAAATCAATAAACAAGAACAAGACGCAGAGGCGCAAATGTGTATTAACCGTGGAAATCGATAAACCAGGCGATGGCAGAATGTAAAATGCCGCGAATTTGCATAGTTATTCGGACGTGAAACGGACCGTACACAGCGCGATTCGCTTATCGGCCGTTATTATTTTTAATCGGGCGGATTTTTCGCGGATAGATAGACCCAGCTAATAGTAAATAAATTGTTCGGATGATTGTTCGATTTCCCGGCGTCCGCAGGAAACCGCAATACCGTTGATAATTCGGGCTGCAGCAAGTGCAGTGACATATGCATGGAGATTTTTACGCTCCGGCTTTTTGCCGAGATTCATGCATTATTCATACGTGGTCGAACGAGTCGCAGTTTAACGATTTCCTTATTATTAATGGGCTAGGAGCTAGGAAGCGGTGCCGTACGCGTCGAACCAGCGCGTAATTGTCCAGCATCCCGAGCCGAGGCCGAGCCCCGAACTCCGCGGTTCCGATTGGGTTTTTCGCCCATTACTCTTAATTACCCATTCAGGTCCCCTCGCTAACAGTAACAGGAAAAAGTGTTACACTCGAGCTCACTCTTATTTATGGGTGGTTTTAGATTATTAACCTTGTTCGTTCTGCAAGATTTTTGCACGCAACCGACGCCACCTGTCCGTCTTTCGTCAGAATCCGCGGCACTTGGACCCACCGAAAAATCTGCATTTTAATTAAATGGGGGCGTCAGTTCGTATTGCGAGCATGCTGCAAGGTCGATGATCCCGATTTTGTGCCCCGATCCTCGGAGTATCGGCGAATTTCCACTGTCTAGTCGGCTCGGAAAAGGAGCAGATTTGCGAGGTCGGCGGCGAGGTGAAGCACTTTTTCTGACGGAGCTAGCGGTGGGTGACACTTTCAATTGACAATAGCTATAATCGAAACTTAAAAAAGCGACGCGAATTTTAGGGTTGACGCACTTTTAGGGGGTGCTTTCTAGCTATACAAGCGCTTAACTAACCATCACGGCGACAGCGGGATAAATGAGGACGAGAATGAGTTTTTTGTAAAGACGCCATTATAGCTATAATTTGTTAATAATTAACCGTAGATAACTCACACATTTCTCACCCGTAGCTATAATAGGCTTCTAACTAGCTATTACGCTTTCACTGCGGTTAGCTGTAATCGATACTTTCATAAATGCATAAGTCGTCGGGTTTTGCCATTAAGACTTAAAATATGCGTTTTTCCGTAAACCAGCAAGTATTAGTGACTCACCCTGTATATAATACTACTGCGAAAATTTATTATATTATTATTAAAACGTTTGTTTTTTCTTTTTGTCAACAGAAGTAACAAATTGAGAAAGCCGAAAAACCACAGAATTAATCACACTACGAAATCCGGTGGGACCAGCGGCGAACAAATAAAATCGACAATTTGATACTTATCTTCATTTTAATAACGAACTCAAGGTAATTATTTCAAGCGAAATATTATTCTTTTTAAAGGCTGGATTTCATATAAGAGATATTAGACATTAATTAACTAATTAATTAAAACAGAAAGTCACGTAATATCTGACGTTTCTTTGTGAAATGGCCATTTTAAAACCAAATCTGGCACAAAATAAGGCCACGTTTGGGTTCAAGCCCAAAATAAACACCATGTAAAATGTCTGTATCGCAATGGACAATGCAAAAAGCACGTGTCAAGATCGCAGTAACCCAGACCAAGATGTCGAACATTCTTTTTGGTAAGTTTTTGTTTCTTCATGAATGCCAAAGAGAAAGCGCGATCTGAACAAAATCATAAGCACTTTAGATACATATCAACCATTGACACATAAAATAAATAGACGGCCCAACGAATTTTATTACCAACAACGAACACACTGTGGCACGATCTCCCATTATTATCCCACACATAAAAATACATTTTCGTACTTCTGCTAGCAACCACGTTGTTACGTAAATTGAGTTCTCTTGACGCAAAAACGCGATTTTATAGCAACACAATCGTTTACCGAGTGCGTAATTAATATGAATTAATGATAAATTAATTAAGTCTCCCGACGGTCCCTCTCCACACTCTTTCTCGGGAGGTTTCGGTGTTAAGGACGTTGACGCTGGAGGTAATTTCCATTTCCGTGGATTTCTCGATATGACTCGGTTGCTACGCTGACGACCTATCGATCAGTTGTGACAAGGTCCCCTTTTTTGCGCCGCCATCTCTCCTTAAATGTCATGCACTACTTCCGCGTCACATTTTTGACATTTCCGACAGCGTTGCCGGCTTGTTACCGAAAATTCTTATCACGAGGGGAGATAAAAACAATTGCTTCGAAATGGACGGGAGATATCTGTTATCGCTCCATGGCTGCATATTTTACACGATTTAGCAACAAGAGCCAATTTTCTCCAAGTCGTACCGATCGCTTTAATCGCGTTTTTTAATTAATATTTATATGACCGATAACGCAAACTCACTACAGGTGGACCGGAAACGACAACGCGCGCCACCCTGTATTTAAACAGTCACAATAAAACCCATCCATCGCATAATTTCCGAAATCCGCCCGGAGATTTATGGTCCTGGAGCGCATAATTCAGTCTCGCGTTTGAAAAGTTTGATTTTGCGTCGTGTAACCAGAATGACCAATTTTTCCCCGGATGATAAATGGCGCAGAATGGAAAATGGCGAGTTGAAAGAACGTTCCGGGCTCCGGAATTCTTATTTTCGTGGGGGAGGTTTGTTGTAGACGGTGTAATGGAGGTGGGAGAAAAATAAGATGATCGTGGAAAGTTTATCGATTCGGAGATAAGGCGGCATTTAGATGGATTCTTGGGATGTTTTGGGCGTTATCTGCGTGATAAGGTGGCGGGGTCAAGGTTGCCGGTTTGTGGGGCAGCGGCGATTTGACGGTCAGTCAAGGTAATCTGATTTGGCGAAGTTGGGAGTTGCTTTGAATGGGAGAAAGAGGAATTACTGTCAATGAAGGAGGGATGGGGGGTTTCCTTTGGACGTGATGGAAATGGTGAGAGGGAGTCTCGGTCGCAACTGTTTATTTGAGTGTTTGGGGGCTTATCGGGTTTTGGAGAATTCTAGCCGGATTTACAAGAATCGAAATTCCGTCATAAATACTGAGCAATAATTTGGCTAATCTTAGTGTACGCCTGAGATAATCCTGGGTTTATCTTATCAGTTATCGCTACTCTAATCACTACTATTTCTTCCAAAAACTAAATAAACAGCCAAATTTGTTTACGTTGTTCGTTATTTTAAAACTTGACACAACTACCAACCAGGAAAAAAAATAATCTACTTGATTAAACGAACCGACAACACCGCCGCGATTCCCTCAACGAACAATACATTGATTACGTCATTAAGTGAGGTTAAGTCCAAATTTGATGCGTCTTTGTAAACAAACTCAACTTCAAGTCTACTAACGATATTAACAATGAAAGTTTTCAGATTCTCTTAATTACCCGAGTTGGCCTATTTACGGCCATTGTTAACGATGCAAATGCCGCGGGTTTAATTTATGTTAATTTATTAAAAACTTGCGGACTATTTGAAAACGTTAAATTTAGACATCGAGTCATCGTAGGCCGAGAATCCATGGCAACAAGAAATTGTTAAATAAGAGTCAGATGCACCAAGTGGGTCAAAATTGAAGCGGACCGGATTAAATTTGAAGCGTTTTCGTAGCAACGAGGAGCGATTAGATTTTGGAATTAATATTAATTAATTAATTCAATCCAAGTGTAGGCATAATCCAATTACATAGTAATTAGCCCCTGGGCTAGACTTCGTACCAGGCGTTGCGCAATTTTGAACAAAAAAATCGGCCCCTTTTCCCCAACTTGGCGCCCTTTGCAGCCAAGATTGTCTTGAATTTTTATCAATAATTAATTATTGCTTAATTATGTGTGGATTTTAATTAGAATTTTAATTGTATTGAATCATTTTCATTACCCTTGCAAAACAGGGTTTAGCATAATTATCGAAATGACTAGGACGAAAAAACAAAAACTCCAACACCGTTTTTATTTTGAGGTTATACTGATTGGAGTGTCATTATAAACTTATTAAAAAAATAATAATAATAATAATAATAAAAACTATATCTGTAGAGATTTGAATCATTGAAATGAGTATTACACAATTTGATATAAAAAAAAAATTACGAAATTTATAAAACCAGTGGATATTGTTGCTCAGATAAAAGGGCCGAACTCGTCCTTATTTTATGTGGGTTTTGTGAAAGCAAAGTGTCCTACACGCCACTTTTCCGTCTATTACGTGTGCCAAAACAAAACCTAAATAGTTATTTGGGTCGGTCCACATCTGCCACTTTCATTATCACTAGGAGAAAATCGCCGTTTGATAACCCGTGTCTCAAACTCTAGATCGCACTTATTTTCGGAAAGGCTCCGTCGAGTGGTCCTCGAATCGTCGGTTTGTTTAGTTTTATCAAACCCCGACGGAAGCACCCAAGCAACGAAAGTCGACTTTCTCCTCGGCAGCGGCGGCGAGCCGTGGCGTCCGGTGCGTCGCCGCCGCCCGCCCCCGTGGGGGCAGCGTCTCCGCGCCGCTTCTAGGTTATAAACAATGGCCGAGCCGTGACGTGTGAGCAGCAAAGAGAACGGCAGCTCGAGGGCGAGGGAGTCGCGATTAGAAATCCTGCGGTGAAAGTTAGCGGCCGCCATGTTTGGGCAAATCGGGGAAAGCCTGGGCCGGTCCGGCCCTTACCTCGTCAGGGTGCCTTTGAGCAGCGGGTTGCGGTCGTAGTAGCCGCCGATCATGTTGGCTCGGAAGTCCAGGGGCGGCTCGCGCGGGGCGCAGGGGCGCGGGCACACGCACACTCACGGGGGCGCGAGGGTGGCGGACTCGGGCGGCCGTTGGGCACGTGGAAAAACATTAATCAAGGCACTAATCACTGTAAACAGTCACTCACTATCAGTTTGACAGCACGAGTGCCAAACAGGTGGCTGCCCCTCCAGTGCGCGACTGCGCGCGACTCGCTGCACTCCGCATCTGCCCTTGATAGCAAGTGAACCGGCGAGCGGCGGCCCCAAGCTCGGAGGAGACTTGCTCACCTAGTTTCGGAGTCGGAGGAGGCCTCCGAGGATGGCGGACGGCGACGCCGCCGACGAAGAGGACCGGGAAAAGGCCGGGGGCGGTGGAAAAAGAGGAAAGTCGGATGGGGTCTTGGAGTCGCTCCGGACCGCAAGGAAGCGCCGATTGACGCAGGCGGTGGAAAAACAGAGATGCGGTTTTCAAGACAGTTTTAAGAATTTTTTTAAACAATTATAATTAATACAAAAAAAGGTGGAAAATAACGAAATAAATGGAGAATACCCAAGATTCTTGTTTCATGCTAATTCGAAAAAAAAATTATAATTCCCGAATAAACCAGGCAGTGATTTATTAATGTTTGTGATTTTTTTGTCAAGTTGGCACCATGTTTAAACTTTATGATAGCATATCTGACTCAAATTGAAATTTAAGGCACCAAGTCGTCTAATCTCTTTATAAGGTGCGATCATTGCAAATTTGATACCTGTGAACTGACATTGCTGCCAATCACTGAGACTACCAACACAAAAATTTCGAAAACGCACTACTCGAACTTCTTTTAGCGAGCGAAGAGAGCTATATTATGCTACTTCGAAAAAGTTATTCGCTGAGGTCTTCAGATTTCGTTGGAAAACATTTTTAATTTTTTTCTGGAGAATCTTATGAAAGACGAAATTGTGTCAAATTAAGTCAGGTCTGGTCACGTCAACTCTATAGGATCTAAAATGATGATGACAGCTATAATGAGTTTCCTTAACTAAGCAGACTTAAGTTCTCTTGTTCTTTTTTCGTCTGTACGTTATAGCTTGCAAAATTTTCTTAATTTCATACTGTTTTGTTTAAGGTGAAGTTGAATAGCCTCGGCTACACTTCGCCTTTCTTCAAAAAAGACCTTATTATTATTATTATTATTATGATTATTGTTAGACATAAAAATTGGTCGAAGGTTATTAAACCTTCGCTCCTGAAGTGTAATAAAACATCGAGCTTTTTCGAAAAATTTTAAAATTTGGTTCTGCGAATTTTATTTATTTCTTTTTTATGAAAACTCCTATTAGTTAATATGTATATAGATATGTACGTAATATTAAAATAAATTTAAAGAAGAGTGCTAAACACATGTCTCTAATAAGTTTTTCCTCTACAACATTTTGTGATGACGTCATCAACGTTTGTGCTAGAACATTTATATCAATTAGATTAACAAATTTTCGTAAAAATTAAGTGAGCCGTTCCTGATTTAAGTAATAAAATAAATTGACGCCTTCATTATTACTTCCCGAGCGTAAGCTAAGGAAGTATAGTAATAGGGCCTAATTTTATATTTTCTCGACGTTTCATGACCCCTACAATACGAAAAAAGTAGTCTCCCGTTTCCGTCTGTCTGTCTGTCTGGTGTCTGTATCCATTTTTGTTAGACACGTAGTCTCCGATTGTGTTGTTAAATTTTGTATGTATATTAGGAATGTCATGTAGACGGTTACATGTTAACTAGAATTTTGCCAATCATCCCCACAAAGAAAGTGAAACGTTTCGAGAGCCCCAACTGTATTTTTTTAAAGCGGGTAAAATCTTCTCGGGGACTCCAGCTGTTTTTTTTTTTAATAGTGTGAAACCTTCTCGGGGTTCCCAGGTGATTTTTTTTAATGAAGGTGAAACCTTTTCGGGGGCCCCATCTGTCTTTTTTTTTTACAGAAGATGAAACCTTCTCGGGGTCCCAAGTATTTTTTTTTTTAAGAATTTGAAACCCTCTGGGGCCCCCAACTTTCTTTTTAAAGAATGTGAAACCTTCTCGAGGTTCCCAGGTGATTTTTTTTTAATGAAGGTGAAACCTTCTCGGGGCCCAAGTGTCTTTTTTTAAAGAACGTGAAACCTTCTCGGGGGTCCCATCTGTCTTTTTGAAGAAAAGTGAAGCTTTCTCGGGGGTCCCAACTGTATTTTTTTTAATGATATGAAACTTTTTTGGGGTTTCCAAGTATCTTTTTTTTTTAAAGAAGGTGAAACCTTCTCCGGGTCCCAAGTATTTTTTTTAAGAATTTGAAACCGTCTGGGGCGCCCCAACTGTCTTTTTAAAGAATGTGAAGCTTTCTCGGGGGTCCCAACTGTATTTTTTTTAATGATGTGAAACTTTTTTGGGGTACCCAAGTACCTTTTTTTTAAAAAATGTGAAACTTTTTTGGGGTTCCCAAATACCTTTTTTTTAAAGAATGTGAAACCTTTTCGAGGGCCCCATCTGTCTTTTTTTGAAAGAAACTGGAGCCTTCTCGGGGGTCTCAACTGTATTTTTTTAATGATGTGAAACCTTCTCGGGGTTCCAAGTATTTTTTTTAAAGAATTTGAAACCTTCTGGGGCGCCCCAACTGTCTTTTTAAAAAATGTGAAACCTTCTCGGGGTCCCCTCCTTTTTTTTAAGAAGCTGAAACCTTTTTTTCTCTCTGTCTCTTACACTGTAACTAGTACTTTCTATATTGTTTTGACTCCTTAGAGGTTATCACAAAAAAGTAAAATTTCACAAACTCAAATTTCATAATTTTTCAAAGAAGCGATTTTGACGGAACTGTAAAAAATGCTATATTTCAATTGGCGATTTTGGAAAAACGGTACGAATTTCCAAAGGAACGACGCCAAAAATGACTTGGATGTCCAAATCTACAAAAAAATGTTTTCGGAAATGGTTAAAAAATGGTCGAAAATGCCAAAGTTGCCAAAATCAGTTTCATGTTTTCAAATACTAGCCCCGCCCACCCACCCCTCTTCCCATTCTAACGACTAATTTTATTTCGGTTTAGTATAAGATCATTCATTTCATCAATCACTAAAATAGAGGCGGGTGGGTGGGCGGGGCTAATTATGTTGCTGTGTTTCAATTGGCGATTTTGGAAAAACGATAGAAATTTTCGAAGAAACGAAGTCGAAAATGACTTCCGAATATCTAAATCTACAAGCAAATCTGTTTCTTTAATTTTCGAAAATAGTTAAAAATGGTCGAAAATGTCAAAAGTGCCAAATCAGTAGTATTTTATCAAATACTAGCCCCGCCCACCCACCCTCTATTTTCTTGGAAGGTATGTCATTTGCCAAAATCAGTCTTATCTTAACAAGGGCGAGGGAAGTTCTGTCGAAATAAAGTTCGACCAATTATTTTTTTTAGTCACCTTGTATAAGCGACTCTAAAATATATTAATATAATCATATTTTGTGCATTTTACATAAGATGTATTCAGCAAAATTTTGAAATGACGTCATAAACTTTTTTGGGAGGGATAAACGAATATTAAAAGTTTACCATGGTCACGATAACCTTAAAACGTCTGATTTTGAAACATTCGGTTTAACAGATTCAAAATTAAATTGCAAAAGGTTCTCAACACGGATTCATAAACTACACGCCTAGGAGTATGTTATTTTATACACCTTGAAACCCATTTACGTCATCATATTGTTGGTGGGGATGATCCGTCAAATTTTGGTCTACATGATATTCCTAAAAAAAATTTCAACAATTGGAGATAAATTGACACAGATAGACAACAGGCATACAGACAGACAGACAGACGGAAACGGAGGACCAATTTTTTCGTACTCTAGAAGTCATAAGACTGGCAAGTCGTCTAATAGACTCGATTATTATGCCGCAATAATTATTATATTCATCATTGTTGAAAACTGAGCGCTGAGATTCTTTCAGCGAGCGAAGCGAGCTGTATATTATGCTGGTTCTAAGCAGCGATCTAAAAACGATTCCTGAGGTTTCAACGATAGTAAATCTTATTACATTATTTTCTTGTCAAGATAAGATTGATTTTGGTAGATGACATATTATCCTCTAAGAAAAAAAGGGTGGGTGGGCGGGGCTAAGGCTTGCTAAGATAGGACTGAACAATATTAAGAGATAGTCACTGAAACGAACAAGGCGAATTTTATTTAGTGTAAAATGGGAATTGAAAAATAACAGTATTCTATTGCTAAAATTTTCTGGAAAAATGGAGTGAGGCGTTCCTGATTTAATCGATAAATTAAATTGACTCAATCACTAGAAAAAACATCACATTTTGCACATTTTGGGTAGAATTAAAATGAACATGTCTTTGATTTGGTCTTCATTGCCCTTGTTTTTATAAAATTCATTGGTTTTATTATACGAAAAAGTGAGGTTAGGTTGTACCATTCCGCGTTGTCAACTATCATCCATTTAATTTTAGGTTCATTGTCAACATTGTCTACAACATTTACAAAAAATCAAGGCTAACTTGATGACTTTTTCAATCGGACACTTGATATGTTGACGATAAAAATAGACAGATAATGTAAAAACTCCGGAATTGATTACTTTGAAATTGAAATGTACTTTAAGATAACAATATGTATACTGATCAAAATTTATCGATCATCTTTAAAACCCGATAAGGTTATTTGGGTGACCAATTAACTCCATTTTTAGGAAATTACGTCAACATGGCTTTTATTTTGATTTTTAGAATTTCGAAGTCTTTTCTTCTCTGAAGACTCACGACCTCATGCATAACTTAACGTTTTATTTTCTTCATCTAAAACTAAAAAGTGGAATACAGAATATCAGAGCGCCGAAAACCAGCACCCAAGCCACATTCTCTCGCACCATAAATAACTCAAAATAGCTCTCCGTTCTCCACCTTGCACAATTTATATCAACAAATCTCCTCTAATCAACATCGCCGGTCTCAAAATAAGCCAAATTTTCGCCTTATCCCCATTTTACAAGTGACAAAATCCGGTCTAAAATTAATCCCAAGACGCATTACTTCAAACCACATTTACCGCAACGCTAACCTACTACATTATGATCAAATGCATACATCCATTTTAATTACGGCTTTCTTTTACGACCAGAACTTGCCTGACCTTTGAACTGCTTTTACTATATGATGACATCCTTTGACATTTGTGTAAAGTCGCACCGGAAAATAACCAGGGACGATTTTAGGTGAAGACACGAAGTTCGGGCAAAAACTGATCCCGATCGGTCACCTGTTTCCTCCAGGACCTTGACATCTTCCACAGCGCTGGTTTTGCATATAGATGGCGTCGTATTACGCTGCAGTGCACGTTATGCAGTTAGAGCCACATAAATCATAAGAGCTTGAGGATTACATCTAAGCTCCGTATCAACATCGAACTGGAGGCG